TATTTTTTTTAATTAATTTTTTTATTATTTGTATTTTATTAGAGTTCTAAGGCTCAAAATACATCTGGATCACAGTACATAAAATAAAATAACACAATCTAGTGACATAAAAGAAAATAACACAATATATTGACATCAGGCATCTGTGTGTGACCTGTGTGGGACCTGGGATGTGCGTATAGGCAATAGGCCCTGGGACCTGACCCTGTGTGTAGACAGTAACTGGTAGTCAAGAGGCACATATCCACCACTGAACATGTTAACAACAGATTAAAACAAACAATGTAAAACAGAACAAAGCATAACTTGACCTACGTAGTATACATTTGGTGTGTGTATATGGGATGATGTGTCTATGGTGTGGTATATGTAGGACCTTTCAGGGTGATGTTCAAGGGATGGAGGTGGGGTGCTAGGGGAGGGTGGAGGCTATTTTAGTCGTAGTTGTGTACGTGTAGCTACAGTTTGGGCTTTATTTTGTCTTTGTTTGTGCTAGCCTTCTTTTGTGTGCCTGTTTTGCCTTAGTCTCTCTGCCTCGGTGCCAAATCATGTACCCAGTGGGCAGGTTTAGCTCTTGGAAGAATGCTGCTCAGTCGTCCGCAGAGGTCAGGGCGTGTATCTGGTCCCCTCTTTGGATCTGCAGTGAGCCGTCTGACCCCCCAGCGGTAACAGATTCTTGCCTCCCGGAGCTGTTTAGCAATTGGTGCAAGCTGCCTCCGCACCACCAGCACTGCAAAAGGGACCCTCAAATTAGATATTGGTTAAGTCTCTGGACCGTTGGACCTGTTGGAAGATTTCCATCATTTTGGCTTGAGTTGTCTGCTGGGTATGTTCCCTGTCTTCTTTGGCTTCCAGTGCGGTGACTCTTTGCTGGAGGGCCCCCATCTCCTTGCGAGTTTCTCGGAGGTCGGCCTTCCAAACCTCCCTCATTTCCGTCAGGACGTCCCTGATGTCCCTCTTTGTCACTGGGGATGAATCCTCCTCTGAATCTGAGTCTCGATAGTGGGCCTCCACTGCCGGTGAGGTAAGGCTGTCCTTGTCATCGTGGGAGCTCACTGATGCCCCCTTCTCGCTATGCGCCTCTGGCGCCATTTTGATCTGAGCCAGAGGTGAAGGCCTTTCAAACGAGAGCCGAATGTCGGCTAATTAAGACGTTTCTGGCAGGCGGAATTTTTTATTCTTTCTCCCCTTTTGGTCTCTGGGGGGGATAGTGTGGTTTTGGTCTCGGATAGAGAGCCGAATCGCTCTTTTAGGCCGTGTTTGTCCCAGGTTGGGACAGATCTCCACATGCACACGACTGGTCCATTAGCTGATCGGCCACGCCCCCTATTCTGTATTTTTTATATATTTTGGTCTTTATGGCAGCACTGCTACCTAAAAATGCATATTCTGGGTATGTCCCCAATCCCCTTTTTTTCTATGTATATTTGGTATCCAGACCAGATTCCTATTGGGCTGAGCATGCCATCCATCCACTGTAGGTGTTTCTTTAGATGTGACCACAGGAAATACATTAAAAAGAGTCATTGGAAGCAGCTTAAGCTGTAAGTATTTCAGTTAGCATGTTAACTTCCCATGTTACAATTAGTGTAGGGCTCACGTTATTGGTGTAGTGTGACATAGTGGTGGGCTTAACTCAATATGGCCATATGGTGGAACTGAATCCCTATATTTATTTGCTAAGATAGGTGATTTTATGTAGCCTTGTAAATTTTAAAACTGCATTTTTTTGTGTATGCACTGTTCCCTATTCTGTATTTTTTTAAATATATTTTGGTCTACAGCAGCACTGCTACTTAGAAATACATGTTCCGGGTGTGCCTCAATCCCCCTTTTTTAATAGTTTTTTTTTAGCATCAATCTACACACTATTTACAAAGCAAAAAAAAAAATCATATTTTTAAAAACCCTCCAAATGTATGAAGTCTTCAGACCCTTTGCAATGACACTTAAAATTCAGCTGAGATGCATCCCGTTTCTAGGGATCACCTTTGATCACTCTTTGATCCACCTTTGGAAAATTCAATTGACTGGACATGATTTGAAAAGGTACACGCCTGTTTACAGGACTGTGTCAAGGCGTAGATCTTTGAAAGACTACAACAATGTTTTGTCTGTATTGAAGGTTCACAAGAGCACAGTGGCCTCCATTATTCTTAAATGGAAATAGTTTGGAACAACCGGTAATCTTCATAGATTGTATTAAAGTAGGACCTACAACACATACTCCATGAATTAAGGAGAACTATATATAGGATGAGGTAGAGGCAAAAAATGCCTACAAAATTCAAAATATAAACAAAGAACAAGTTAGACCTGTGCTGCAGATACTCCACACTGTCCCAACAGTGTATATACAACCAAAAAACAAACACGAGTCCTGCGCATCCAGTATAGGCGTGCACACCCAGGTGCTACCACAATTTGAGGACAAAGTTAAAACGCCAAACGTTTCGAGCAGCAGCCCTTTCTCAATGCTAATGTCCTCTACGTAGACTTTGCTGATGCATTTAATACAGTTCTACGCGGAAGGCTGTTGTGAAAATAGAAAGAGACATTAGCATTGAGAAAGGGCTGCTGCTCGAAACTTTGCTGTTTTAACTTTGTCCTCAAATAAATTATGGTAGCATCTCGGTGTGCACACCTTTTCCTGGATGCGCAGGACTCTTGTTTGTTTTTTGGTTGAATTAAGTTGGGCCAGAATAGAACATCTCTCTGCATTCTGTCTCAGTATTAATTTCAAGGATGAGCATTTTTTCACTAAACCTGGTATCTCTTTCTATTTGTCCAACATCCTACTGCGTAGAACTGTATCAAACGCGTCAGAAAAGTCTACGTAGATCACTACAAGGTAACAAGACAATTTGTCTTGTAAAGTTTTTGGCGAAGAATAGCAGAGGTGAATATGGAGGACACTTTTAAAAGTTTGCAGGATCAGGACACGAACAAATGAGTAATGGATCTTTCTACAGGTCCGCTAAGTTTCTTGCAATGTCATAAATATAGCAACAAATCAAACAAGGTTGTCTCTTAGCTGTCACACACTAAAAGATTACACTGAATACTTTGTATGGTATGGCTCTGCTAATACATCTTCAGTTTTGTTTGAAATTCTTACTTATATATTTATTTATTTATAAAATATTTTACCAGGATGGATACATTGAGATTTCTCTCGTTTTCAAGTGTGTCCTGGGTCCACAAAACATTGCATTGTTACAATAGGATACAATATTACAAAAATACAATATACAAACTATATATAGACATATAGATATATACACACATATATAAATTTAATACATAACAGGTAATAAATATATTCAACCATGACCGGTGCATTCTGTGCTGAGGTATTAAAAGATTTTAGATTGAATGATGATTTGACTGTGTCCCTGAGCTTATTCCATAATTGCGGTGCTCAATAGGAAAATGAGGATCGAGCCACTTTATTTTTGTATTGCGGCATGCTAAATATCATGCTAGTACTGGATCGAAGGTTATAGGAGGTGGGAACAGCTGGGGAGAGCTTCCCAGAATGTTCTTATGCCAAAGACTGGGAAGATGAAGAGTGCGTCGGGATTCCAGCGACAGACAATTTAGATCTTTTAACATGTCACAGTGGTGGGTAAAGTAATTACATTCTAGTACAAAGCGGCAGAACGAATTATATAATGTATTAAGTTTATTAAGCTGGGTTTGCGGTGCGGGTGCATACACTACATCCCCATAATCAATGACCGGCATTAGCATTTGTTGCATCTGTTTCCTTACTGTAGGGCTTAGGCAGGATTTGTTTCTGTACAGGGCACCTAGTTTTGGGTAAAGTTTTGAAGAGATTTTTTTCAATGTGAAGGCCAAAAGATAGATTGGGGTCTAGCAACATACCTAGATATTTAAAAGCGCAGACTGCTGTCAGTGTGCTATTTGAATTTATTCTGATACACAATTGTTGATTTTGTAGTTTACGTAATTTAGGTACAGTTCCAAAGATCATTGTAATGGTTTTGTCGGTGTTTAGGAAGAGTTTATTATCCTCTATCCACTTTTCTACATAATGTGAAAATATATTAAACAAAATCACTGAATAGACCATGATTTGTGAGGAGTTGACAATTGATCTAAAAAATGTTGGAGTAAACATTGTGGAGTTGGAAAAATGTCTCCCTATTTCCCAAATTTGCGATTAAGTGTGATCTGCACTTTGCACAGAAAGGGGACAAGTACTGTTACAAAATAGTAGAGTAAAAGTAAATTATAAAACTAAAATGTCAGGAAGGGTTTGATGGTCTTTTGTTCGGAAATGTAAATTAGAATTTGGTCAAGAAATAAATGTGATAGGTAACCGAACTTGTAATGGAGAGGTGAGAGGTTGGTATGTAATCATTATTATATGCATGCGTTAGGGCGAAAAATATTATGAGTAGATGGATTTTTTTTTTTTTGTTAAATCAACTAGTGTGGAAAAGACTGAAAAATGCATGATGCATTTGTCTATTGCCTTTTGACTGAGAGGATCTGAAGTTATCATTAGTAAGATATAATATGGAGTTTGGTGGTAGTATCCCACTTTATAGTATGGAGTCCCTGGTAGCAGTGGTGTATCCTGGTTTTGTGCTGCCCTAGGCAGGACAAAACTCAGGCACCCCCCCCGCGCCACCCCCACCCGCGCAACCGCCACCCAACCTTCCCCCACCCTCTAAATACACACACACACACATTCACTGACAGATACGCATTCACTAGCTAACAGAAACACACACTCACTAACAGACACACACTCACACACACACTCACTAACAGACACACACACTCACAGGCAAACACACACACACACACACACACTAACAGGCAAACACACACACTAACAGACATCCACACTAACAGACATCCACACTAACAGACACACACACACTAACACTAACATACATACACTAACATTAACATACACACTAACACTAACAGACACACACTCACACACTCACTAACAGACACACACACTAACAGACATCCACACTAACAGACACACACACACACTAACACTAACATACATACACTAACATTAACATACACACTAACACTAACAGACACACACTCACACACTCACTAACAGACACACATACTCACAGGCAAACACACACACTAACAGACATCCACACTAACAGACACACACACACACTAACACTAACATACATACACTAACATTAACATACACACTAACACTAACAGACACACACACTAACACTAACATACACACTAACAGACACAAACACTAGCATACACACACACACTAACAGACACACTAACATACACACACTAACAGACATCCACACACACACACACTAACATACACACACACACTAACACTAACATACATACACACACTAACATACACACTAACAGACTTCCACACACACTAGTGTTTTTTTATTTAACCCCCCCCCAGCCTCCTTACCTTTGGTAATGCTGGGGGGGGGGTTCTTCCTCTCCCTGGGGTCCAGTGGCTGCAGCGCTGGGCGGGCGGGCGGGCGGGCGGCGAGGGAGCTCTTCCCCTGAGCGCTCTGCTCTGCACAGCTCCCTCGCACGCCGCCAGCAGAGTGAGGCCGGGAGCCGGAAGATGACGTCATATTCCGGCTCCCGGCCTCATTCTGCTGGCGGCGCGCGAGGGAGCTGAGCAGAGCGCTCAGGGGAAGAGCTCCCTCGCCGCCCGCCCAGCGCTGCAGCCACTGCCGCCCAGCGCCCAGAATGTCTGTTAGCCGCGAGGCTAACAAGACATTTGCCTTGGGCATTTGGGGGGCGGCGTTTTTTGCCGCCCCCTGAAAAATGCCACCCAAGGCAAATGCCTTGTTTGCCTCGCGGCTAATACGCCCCTGCCTGGTAGTTTGGTGAAGGTGAAAAGTTTGAACAGCCACAATAGAGAGCCAACCAAAAATCTTAGTCACAGAGTCAAAGGCCAAAAGGCAGAAAGTAGTGTTTCAGTAATTGTGTCAGGACCTGGTAAGGAAATCAGAAACACATCGGGTTAACACAGAGACATACATCAAATTTATAGTAAGACCCAGGCCAGATAACACACTTCAGGAGAAACATAGACACTAGTAGTAGCCATTGTGCTTCTCAGTAGAGTGATTGCAATGTTAGAAGTTTCTGGTTTTACCTGTATGATTTCAGCACAAAGAATGCTGTGGATTTTTGAATACCGGAGCTCTTTGCCATTAAAATAGAAAATTATGTTCTCCCGTACATATGTGGTGTAGTCTAGGTGTAGGACAACAAGACAGCAGTCTGCATAAGCCAAGAAATATCGTAAAAAAACAGAAACCATTTCTAATTGTGCAATTACCTCAAAACCATTTCTGAATTCATACCTCTACTTCAGTAAACCTGACAATATATGCATGCCACTAAAAGCAGGAACGAGTTTGTGGTTTCAGTAATGACTCAATATGGCTAGTGTGGAATTACTGTGCCTCAAAACTTGTACAGTTCATATGAGGGCTAATGCATATCTTCCAGCAGTCCTGGATCCTGGGACTGTTTGGTCCACTGTCCTGAGTCAGACATATTGGCTAACAGACATCAAAGTAAATTTCAATTTTAAGTCCAAAATAGCCAAAGCAAAAACAGAATTGACTTGGAGAATTTTTCTAATTCGGACATTTTGTCACAAATGTTGAAATTCACTTTGAATCCACGTCCTTTCTTACTTTAGTGAATAACAATATAAATGCCCTACTTAATCTGCCTACAATAAAAATGTAGACTGGCTAGGCTTATTTATTATTTAGAATGACCTTTTCTGTATAAAAAGCAGTCTTAATTACTTAACACAGTTATCCCTTAGTACATGTACTGTTAGAGTATTTCAGACTTTTGCTATAATTTATGTAGTTATTTCCACATCATACTGCTATGCTGCTCCTAAGCAATATATGAATTCATACTTCAGAAGACCTGATAATATATGTCAGTGCTCTTAAAACTAGTCTATGGACCCACCAGAGTGCCAGGTGTTCGGATGTCTCGATCAAAATGACAGAGTTCTGATTATTTCACGTTATCTTCGGGCCCCGCCAATCATCAGACCAGTATCAGGTCAAGAATACGAACACAGAATTCACATAAAGCTAACTGGTGTATAGGTTACACTTAAAAGAATAATGTAAAATCATTCCTCAGAAAAAGAAAGTGTTTCCTTAGTGAAAATTGAGGCATCCTTACCAAACTGTGAGGTAGATCTTGTGCTTCTTCTGCCCTTCTACACTAAATCTTTTTGATGTGGATAGCAGAGCAAGTCTGACATTTATGAGTTAAAGTCTGACTACACTGTTCTTTTTCCTACACTGGGACATCTTCAGAGTGCTTTGGCAGAGAGGTCACCCCCCTGAAGATTAATACTGAGATGTCTGGACCTCAATACTGCGAGATAAAAGCATGTAATCAAATTATCTGCTTTCATGACGTGCGTGTGTGATATGGCTCTCCTCATGACATTAGACAGCTGATGGCCAATATATGGGTTTGTGAAAATGATTGTATTGTGCTTGGTCTCTGTTGAAAGAAAACAAAATATAATGCATTGTATTCAAGTTATAAACTCAGTGCAATAATTATGTACAAGTGCAGAAAGATATTGCTCTGATAAAAAAACATATAAGCACTTAATCAAACACACATCAATTTGGTCGGCTAATCTTCATTTACTGTCATATATGCCGTTTTGTTCAACAAGACACTCTAAGTACCACAAGTACTATGGCTCATTGTAGAGGTTATAGTTCAGAGCCTGTGGGCACCGTGCACATATAACTGGACTTGCACTGCTGCCTGTTGCTGCCGATTATTATTATAAATATTTATATAGCGCCAACATAGTCTGCAGCACTTTACAATTATAAAATGGGGATATTTGACAACAAGTAATTAACATGCAGAATACAACAGAGACGAGATTAAGAAAGCTCTGCTTACAAAGACAACATTCTTATTGCACTATATATATCCCCTTCTGTGTTTTGAGTATGGGTATGGTTAATTTTGACATTGTGCGTGCTAAATGAGCCTGAAGTGTGGTAAAATATAAATTGTCCGTTAATTATCTAAGATCACACGGTGATTACATTAGCGTTGACTTGAAGATGCTTGAAGAGCAAAGTGTTTTGTACACAACACGTGTAGTTATTATAAAATGACTGTTGTAATATGAATCCATGGCACGGTTTATTAACACGCAGTAAGTCTGCATCTACAGCTTATCTATTGCGTGTGTCATGCTAAATAAGCATTTTGTTTATTTAAAGCCAGTGTGTGTCATCCAGTGTTCAGAAGCCTCTTGGAACCAACACAGAAGCTCTGTAATTCAATTCTCTCTACTTTGAAGCCAAACAGCTAGAGAATGCAAGAAGTTAATTGCAGACATGTTGGAGTATTAGACCATCTGTTCAGAATGACTGACTAAGCCTTGCTTACATTATAGTTTGAAATGTATGCTTTATAATGTTGTGAACAATGCATAAGATATTGCGGAACATAACTACCTATCTAAGAATTTATATAATCTATGAAAAAATGGTCCATACGACTACTCCCTGGCTCACATTGAGCGAAGAGAAATTGTCTTGGGCCACACATGAAATATATAATATCATCAATTTATATTATAACACTTCAAAAGCTCTTTTCTAAATTTTGATATTTTTATTTGTTTAGTAGATAACTTCCTTATTTGTTATACTTAATATTGCCATATTTAAGGATACCAAATCAGGGAGCCATCTATTAAATACACACATGTGTGTGTGTGTATATATATATATATATATATATATATATATATATATATATATATATATATATATACATATACACATAACCACAGATATACACACACACAGATTCACATACCTATACACTCATACAATCACAGACCTATACACACACACTTAATCACATACATACACAAACACCATCACAGGCCCACAAATGCACACATACAATCACAGACCTAGACACACAATCTCAGATATACACACAAGCATAGATAAACTCACAATCACAGACCCACACACACACATATCATCACAGACCTGTATATACTATCACATACATACACACACACACACACACACACACACACAAAATCAAATATATACACACAGACACACAATCATATACACACATAATTACTTAAATACACACAAAAATCACATTCATACAAACACATTTACTAATTAAGAGGTCCAACCATCCTCCCTATCTTGCTCTGGGAGGGCATCATATTCCAGGTGGCCAGTAGTTGCTGCTGTAATGGGATCACTGTGCTCTTCCTGCACAGGTTCTTCGCATACACAGTAGTGTTGACAATGCCGGGATGACATCATATCCCAGCTGCCGGCTCACTGCAAGGTACACGTTGGAGCTGTGCAGAAAGAACACAGTAAGGAATGGGCTCCCTGCCTTCTTAGCTGTCCTGCAGCTTGGACGGCAACTGTGCCGCATTTGTACATGCTTGGTTTACACACTTAAAATAAGCCAGAGGAAAGGCTGAAAAGGAACAATGTAAGGTTAGGTCACAATTGGGAGGAAATGTTTTTGGTGAAGTCCTTATTTTTCTCGGAAAGGAAATCAATGGTTCTAATATATAAAAAGAGCGTTTTCTACTGACATATTGCTAGTATAGAAGGTCTCAGATGTTGGGTGGTAATGTCTGATTGCTAAAATATAGATTTTCACATGATTAGCTCTTTTTTTTAATCGAGGAATAGCTTAGATTTAATTTACTTGTCTTTGAAGAGTTTGAGACATGTGCAATGTTGTTGTCTTTGTTACATTATCATGTCATATTTTGGTATGTTTCTTAATTGAAAATGCTGCTGGTAGTGTTGTTGATGACATTGTCAACAAATTGGGTATCCAGTAAGGGAAAGTATACCTGATTTTCAATGGGCTTGAATAATTTTGATTACAACTGTATGGCTGCTGAACAGTGCCATCACTATCTTTTTGTATCCTAATCCTTGATTGTGAAGGGCGATAATCTCTTCTTTTAACTTTGTGTACCATTCTTTTGACTTAGCCATATTTCTAACATGCAGTCAAATGTGACATTCAACAAAGCGCTAGCCAGTTCAGGCATTTCAAATGTTCCAGCTCAAGCACACCTGGTGCAAGTAATGACCCCCTTGATTAGCTGCATCAAGTGTGCTTGAG